ACTGCCAAAGCACTTGCCATTGAATATGGCTGCTTGAGCAAGCTGGAGAGCCACATGAGGATTGACAGCAGCCATTTTGTGAAGGGGTTTGAGAAACAATGGATTGGTGTTGAAGTTAGGCTTTGAAGAGGGGAGGTGTAAAGGTTTTATAGTGGGAAAGAGTAACCGGCAAGCCGAGCGATGATAAGGAAAGTGACTGCAGTTAATTATAGACGATTCGAGATCTCAGATAATAGGGTAAGAAGTATGAAAGAATGGAGTGCCCTTGGAGCTAAAGAGTAGGGAGAATCAAAGTCCTTCCTTACTTGAGATTTTCCACCTCTGGCCAAGCAAACATCCCTAATTCTCGGCGGATGGTTAGGAAAGTATCAGACCCTAGTGGTTTGGTGAATATATCGGCCCATTGACAAGACGTGGGCACAAATTCTAGGTCAATTTTCCCTTCTTCAACTAAGTCCCTAAGAAAGTGATACCGGACGTCTATATGTTTTGTTCGGGAATGCTGAACGGGGTTTTTTGACATGTTAATGGTGCTTGTGTTATCACAGAGAATAGGTACTGATCCTAGAGCCAATCAATAGTCCTGGAGTTGTTGCTTCATCCACAAAAGCTGAGTGCAGCAGCTCCCAGCTGCTATATAATCTGCTTCAGCCGTGGAGAGAGCAACCGGATTTTGTTTCTTGCTGAACCAGGAAACAAGGGACGTGCCAAGAAAATGGCATGATCCCGAGGTGCTCTTGCGATCCATTAGACATCCAGCGTAATCAGAATCAGAATATCCTAGGAGTTCTAGACTGGAATGGCATGAGTACCACAAACCTAAGTTAGGAGTACCACTGAGATATCTAAATATTCGCTTAACAGCCGACAAGTGACTCTCTTTAGGAGAACTTTGAAACCTTGCACACAAGCAGACACTAAACATGATATCTGGCCTGCTGGCAGTAAGATAGAGCAATGATCCAATCGTTCCCCTATAAAGTTTTTAATTAACAGAATTCCCTGATTCGTCCTTGTCGAGTTTAAGAGTGGTAGCCATGGGAGTTACTGCTGATTTTAAGCTGCCTAAGTCAAAACGTTTGAGCATGTTTTGCAAGTATTTGGTTTGACAGAGAAAAATTCCAGAGGGGGTTTGTTTGATTTGAAGTCCAAGAAAATAGGTTAATTCGCCCATTAGACTCATTTCGAATGCTCCTTTCAAAGCAGATTCAAATTCTGTGCATAAGCTTTGACAAGAGCTTCCAAAGATAATATCATCTACATAAATTTGTACAAGTAGAATGTGTTCTTGTTTTTCTTTTATGAATAAGGTTTTATCTACTTGTCCTTGTCGAAAACCATTTTCCAGTAAGAAAGAACTGAGCTTATCATACCAGGCCCTAGGAGCTTGTTTTAATCCATACAAGGCTTTCTTTAATTTGTAAACATGATTAGGATATCTATGATCTTCAAACCCAGGGGGTTGGGAGACATATACTTCTTCTTTTAAATCCCCATTTAGGAAGGAACTTTTTACGTCCATTTGATATAGTTTAAAATGTTTTGAACTAGCAAAAGCACACAACATTCGAATGGCTTCAAGTCGTGCAACAGGAGCAAAAGTTTCATCAAAATCGATACCTTCTTCTTGATTATACCCTTGAGCTACCAAACGAGATTTGTTTCTAAGAATTGTGCCTATTTCATCAGATTTGTTTTTATATATCCACTTGGTTCCTATGATAACTCTATCTTCTGGTTTAGGGACTAACTCCCAAACTTTAGCTCTTTCAAATTGATGCATTTCTTCAAACATGGACTTAGTCCAGTATTCATCAAGTAACGCTTCTTGCACATTCTTTGGTACAATCAAAGATACAAGCGCAGACTGATTTAATTGTATTTTAGAGCGAGTTGTCATACCTTGGCCTAATTCACCAATGATCTGAGTAGGGGGGTGCCTTTTGACGATGTGAGCAGGAGAATGTTTTTCCAGAGTCTCTGTATCTTCGGCGACTGCTCCTGAGTCGTTTTCTTCTTCCTGCTGTGATTCTTTCTTATTGCTTTCACTAGTGCTTCGTCCGAGTCCAAAATCTTCATCATCATTCTCCTCAAAATCTGTAATCTCAGTAATAGACTCATCAAATATCACGTTAACGGACTCCTCAACCTTGAGGGTCCGTTTATTAAATACCCGGTAAGCCTTGCTAGTTTCTGAATATCCCAGAAAAACAGACTCATCTGACTTGGCATCAAATTTTCCAAGGTTGTCTTTTGTGTTCAGAACAAAACACTTGCACCCAAAGGGGTGGAAGTATCCCATGTTTGGTTTCTTTTCTTTCCAGAGTTCATAGGGTATTTTCTTTATTCCTGATCTAATTAAGGCTCGATTAGTTATATAGCATGCTGTGTTTATGGCTTCTGCCCAGAAGTACTTAGGTAAACCATAATCATTTAGCATGGTCCTAGCTATGTCAATAAGAGTTCTATTCTTTCTCTCTACTACCCCGTTCTGTTGAGGGGTCCTAGGTTCTGAGAAGTTATGAAAGATTCCCATTTCATTGCAATAGAGCTCAAAGGTTTCTGAACTGAATTCCCCTCCATGATCACTCCGAATACTGTAAACCTTAGTTGATTTCTCGTTCTCTAAGCATTTTACAAGGGTTTTGAATCTTAGGAAAGCTTCATCCTTCTTAGCCAGGAACAAAACCCAGGTAAATCTTGAGAAGTCATCAACTATGACAAAGCATATGACTTTCCTCCATAGCTGACAACGTTTGTAGGTCCAAACAGGTCTAAGTGCAGAGGTTCGAGTACCCTAGTGGTAGAGATCACAGTCTTACTTTTGAAACTTGATCTAGTGTGTTTACCCTTGGCACAAGCATCACAAAAGAAGTCTTTTTTCTCATTAATCTTAGGAAGACCCTTGACCAGACTCAATACTAGCAATTTCCTTAGCTTCGAGAAGTGTATTGATCCTATCGAAAAGTATCTTCTCTTTTGCTGGGAACTGCTTCAAATACTTGCTGGTAGATGACCGTTGGATGCAGAGCAAGGAAACTTCATGGAATTAGGGAAACCCTCTGATTTGATTATGTATTTGTGGTCGTTGGCTTTCACTATAGAATCAAACTGATCCTGCTTTGATTCACCTTCCAATTCTGCGAATATTCCAGATCCTCGAGTTGTCTTTCTTCCCATGTTCTTTCTCATTGTCGAGCTATTGGCTGGCTTTCCTCCAACACTTATAAGAACTCTGAATTTTCACCTCAAACCACGACTTATCGTTAATGTTGAATTATTTCTTATAATACATAAATCCCTTTCGTACTTTATCGAGATGAGATTTCGGAAGGTGTTAGATTACACAATAAGGGGTATTTTGGTGGGAAATGTAGATGGGATGCAATTATATGATAAGAAATATAAATTAGTTAAGTAATAGTAGCTAGATGCTGCTGCTGATGTTTGAACAGGATTGGAGGGTAGAGATATATGCAGCTATGTATTATTATAGCATAGGTAGCAAGACGACTGCTGTTTGTTTTCCTTTCCCCCGTCAATCACTTCGAGGCTGTTAGGTATATTTGATAGCGACTCCATCGATCAATCTGTGAGACCTAGCTAGCTCATCACCATTGTCTTATTTTATCTAAGCTAAGCTTTCCGGTATGGTCGGATAACAAATTTACAAAATTTGTAATAAGCAATAATAGTAATTCGTATACAATCAAACTCTCGATGAAATTAAAGACTTGTTTTGCTACTAGGTGAGAAAAACAACTAAACCAAGAATTGTAAAACCGAACTGGAGGTTGTATCGAAAAAATCAGAGGTAGAATATTTTATGCTGAAATCGTGGTTCAGTCAATTCATATTGTTAAAAACCACCTACACGTGTAGACTCGAATAATTTTTTTTATAACCGATACAATACGGGTTTACAAACGAAACTAGTTTTGATATCGAGATATTAGAGAGAAAGGAGAATACAATTACCCTATCAAAGAGAGAAAATCCGTCATGGTTGGTTTGATTAATTGATTTGGTTTGGTGGCAAGTAGTTAACATGCAAATTCTTGGATACCTTCTTGGCTTTTGTTTTGTGCATTATCGCATCACAATAATGCACGCAGTATCCCATCATATCGAGGTCAACAAACTAATTCCATCAAGATCAAGAATCAGTAGTCAATAAATAAATATATTTGATTTAACTTATAATATAATATAAAAATATTTCATTAAAAATACCTGAAATATCAAATAACTTCAGAAACACACCATACAATATTCGCTCTCTTTAACCTGCCTTGCCTAACTAATTATGGAGTTGGAACTATGCGTAGAGATAAATAGGAAAGGAGGAAAAGTCTGAATTTGACACGACCAGCCGGAGTCGTCAACGTCAAATTTATATATAGGCGTGGACATATCCCGTTTTGTTCACAACTAACTTACTATTTCCGTTGATTCGTATATAGTCAATAACACATGTTCTTTCCCCTCTATCTTTTACGTTGATTCACCCTAATTAATTCCCTCAAATCTTTCATTATTCGGACGTTGACTGATCACTCATCAGAATTCATATCCAATAATATTATTGGTTCCTGTTTGCGGTTTTGAACAACAACCGCGGTTTTAAACAACAACCGCGAGATTTCGTTTTGAACCGACTCGCAACGCAAATTTCGGTTTAAACATCAGCTAATTAATATATAGTAAATAAATAAAAACCACGTATAAACCTATACTACAACATAAAGCATTTACAGAAATTATAATAAATGGTCGCCTAATGCGAGTTTAAATTCAATCTTCTTTACAAACGAGGTCCAACCTAGTTGGTGAGTCGGCACACTTCCTTTTGTAAGGATGTGTGTTCGATTCCTAATGCGAGTTGGTGAGACGGCACGCTTTCACTTCTAGCACCTTGTAACAGGTTATTATAATAATAATAATAATAATAATAATAATAATAAATTCAATCCCTTTCTCGGTTAATCAAAGGCTCATGTTTAAAGAACACAGAAAGGCACGATGTCTTGCAACAGTCCATAGTCGTCGTCGCCGGAGAACTGCAACTGCTGCGGCTGATTATTACGGTGGTGCCTATGAATGACGGAAGGGGCGAGCATTGAGTACTGGGAGAACATTGCGGCGGCGGCGTTGCCGCGGAGGGTTGACGGAAGGGGATGGTTGTGCTGACCTTCGTAGGTAGTGACGACTACGGATGGATCGTCGAATGATCTCTCCACCCTCTTTTTCACCCCGCATCTCTGTGTCGTGCATCGGTAGTAGCTCCTGCACATCACACAATAACTCGAGTTATTGGGAGAGGTTCAATAATCAAATCATATACGCGTGTCGCATGCTAACCTGCCGTACAAATGAAAATCAATTCATATGTGTGCTTGAAGTTTGCATGGGTCCGAATACCGTGCCGTGTACTTAATAAATATGGATCGTCGGGATTCGAACAGAATACTATTGGTCCACGGAAAAGTTCTTATACCATGTTAAGAATTACCAGGTTCCAATAACTCGATTTATTTAGAAAGACTAATAATGAAGAGGTGGTGCACCTAATTGTATATTCACTATGTACTAATAAATTTTTTACTTAAACACTCAGATTAGAGGGGATTGCACTCCTATTATGTTATTGTTGAACTACAAGTCCGTTTGGCCGCAAATTTTGAATAAAGAAGGTGATGTGAATTTTGTGATGCGCATGTGTCGTTGTTGCTAGCTAGCTAGCTAGCTAGCTAGGTCATCAATTATATATAAGTTTTTAGTATATAGTCAAGTAGTTAATTTGGGAAATTATGAGGTGTTTGGTATAGGGTGGAATTAATTATGTGAATTTGCTCGACCTTTTAGGTAATCATAGTCAATGTTTGAGAATATGATGAGAGAATACAACGGGGTTGAGTTCACACACTAGTCTTGACCATATGCATATATTATTTGCCTTGTTGGCTAGATATCGTGTAGAGCAAGAGATAATAAGGGGAGAATTATATTATATATTAGATATGAATTATTTATTTATAATAAGTTCATTGTTATGAGAATGCGAACGAATCAACCTTCGTGCTAGAAGACACTCAAATCAGTTATAATAGCTGTCCAGTTCATTGAATAACTAAAGATGAACCAAACAATTTTTTACAATTGGACAATATTAGACCAAATGAACCACTCTGATTCGACACGTTCATTAATTCACTCTTTGAACCAAACTTTTTAAGAAAACTATAATGTAAACAGAGACCATCTAACCCTAGCTACTCATTTTTACTTGTACCTCATGTTCTTCAATCTCTACCTCTTTACTGAATTTATGCAATTCACTACCGATTACCACCCTAATTACTAATTAATTTTTTTTGCGTATAATTTCTTTATGTGCGTATTTTTGAATGATTTGTCATAAGTTTTCACGTTATATGCTATGCATTTAAAATTACTGAGTCGTCCTAAATTGGTGTTTTATACATTTCTTATATTTTACAGGCCGGGATTATCGTATAAATGATTCTTCTACAAATGATTAATCAATGATTATATAACGATAAATCATTGAACCATGAACCACTATCTTCTTCTTTATCCCGTCTGAAAACAGAGATGATAAACACATACCGGGGATAAGGACTATTCTTGACAGCTTTCTGGCCGTACTTCCTCCACCGATAGCCATCTTCAAGATGATCCACCTCGCTCTTGGTCATGAACGCAAACCGCGGCTCTCTCTGCCGTTTCTTCTTCTCCCCTTTCCCAGCTTGCACCTTCTTCCCTTTGCCAGTACTCTTCCTTCACCAGAAAAAAAAAAAATTCACAAACAAACAATTGATTTTAACCCTTCAGATTGTGCTAATTAAAAAAAAAAGCCATGCAATGAAAGCTAGATCTCTCTTACTCTTTCTTACTGTCAGGACAATTAATATTATTACTTCCATCGTCCTCCACCTCTGCCGCCTGATGATCTTCCACTTCGCTGTAGGACAACGACGACGGCGATGGGTTCGCGTCGAGGGCGAAGGCTTTGGCGAGGGAGTGGTAGTGATCGGCGGATCCATGGAGGCAGTCGGTGAGGCTCATGTTGTTGTATGGAGTAGAAGCAGATAGTGGTGGTGCTTTGTCGACGAGGAACCCGCCGGCGGCGGGATATGGGTAGTTGGGGAAAACGGGAGCAGCGTCGTCGCCGGCGCCGGTGAAGCGGTGGTGGTGGAAGTAGAGTTGATGATCCTCTTCGGACATTGTACTTAAGGAAAGAAGAAGAGGTCTTGGAGGGGAAACTGGGAAGATTAGGAAGGAAAAGGTCTTGGAGATGAAAGGGGATGGGGAAGTTAGGGTTTGAATGGGACTTTTTGGTGAGTGATGGATGGAGTGGATTGCCACTTTTATGGTTTGTAATTATGATTTAGGAAAAAGGAGGGATAGAGTATAGAGATAGAAAGAAAGAAAGAAAAGAAGAAAGGGGTTTGGAAGTAGGGATGACAATCAAACTTATGGTCGTGGTTCGCGGGTACCCGACCGTTCCCGACTCAGTCAATGCGGGGAATTCCTGTTTTGACCGGATATGGGTAAAACCTATAAAAAGTTTGATGGGTATGAGGCGGGTATGATTTTATCCTCCCCGCCTCATACCCATACCCATACCCATACCCGCCCCACCAAGAGAATTTCTTCACATATAAAAAAAAAAGTAATCAAATTGTAATCTATCAATGATAATGAGGATAACTCGAGAAAATAAATAGTAGAAATGCAATTGAGTGACCACCTTAATCAAAACATAATTCATTTCCCTCAATTCTCCTTTCACTTTCACCCTTGTCAACAAGATTATGTTAGTTAATTATTACTTAGTAGATGTATCAAAGTTAGAGCATAATAATTTGAAAATATTGTACTCTATATTTTGTATTAATGGATGTTTTAGGATCATATTCTTCGAACCGTATTAAAAAAATGATCGTATTTTTTTGAGTTCATTAATACGTTCGTTTAGAGTTCTAATTAAAAAAATTCTTGTAAGTTTTAGGTATAATAATGTTGGATGTGCGGGGACGGGTATTACCCATGGGTACCCGAAACCCACGGGCATGGGAATGGATTTGCAAAACATTTCCCCGCATGGATATGAGGCGGGTATGGGTTTGGGTATTTGAAGTTGGGGATGGGGTTGGTTTAGACAAACCCGCCCCAAACCCGCCCCCATTGTCATCCCTATTTGGAAGAGGTTTGACAAATCAACACTAAGCATTCCAATCGATTTTGTAAAATCGTATCGTATAAGTGGTTCGGTTAGAAAATTTTATTGGAGACTAAGTAGGTAAGCGATTTTTAGCAGTATGAAACGTTCGAATTACGATTAATCACGATTTTAGCACAAAATACTTTATCATTTACTTTTTCGATTCAATCTCTAATACGATTTTACAAATGATGATTCTAATAATAGAAATGGAGGGAGGGAGGCAAACAAAAGTAGAAGATAATTTGGCACCCTTGTTTGCAAACATTTCCCCCGAAATGATTCAAAGTTTATTTATGTGGGTCATCAGTCATCATACCTCATCTAAACTATTCTATACTAATTATTATTTTGTGTAAAATAATGATATATGATTAAATCGAGTTTCTTATCTCACTAACTCAAATTTCTAAAATAATTGGTTCATGATATGATATCAAAAGTGTTTTGATGAAAATGTTTTATGTAGCGGTCCTAAGCAATACTCAATATAAACAATTGATTTAAATAGATAATGGTATAACACAAATATCTTTCCTTTGAGGGAACATGTAGAAATTTAAGGTACATTCTTGATCTTTTTCTAACCACCTCCAATTATTGAAAAGACTAAGTACTATTTCTTCGTTGTCTTTGTCTTTATTACTTTTTATAGGTCACTTCCTACTTAATTTTGTGAGCACAAATCGTATCAAACAGTCATGTTCATATACAATTTCCAAAATGATATTCAAAATTTTTTAATCATAAAATTAAAGGCTGAAATTTGAAGGTTTCTTGAGAACTTGTTCTAAAGACGCAAAATTATCCTTACAACAACTAAAGATGCTTTTAAGGTGAATCTTGCTAAGAAAAGAGTATGACACATGATGACACTGAATTTGAATTGAATTATTTCATACAAACCAATTTTTGAAACAAGGAGTAGAAACAAAAAGATATGGTTATTGAAGATTTATGTGAGCTTGAAAAACGATCTTTTTACCGTCATATGACAATTCGCTCTTATTGTCTAAAAAAAACTAATTAACTGTAAAAAGTCTTGATTTTCTTTTTTAACTTATTTATTATGGACCATTTGATCAAAACCAATCTTTTCTTTCTCAAATCTTTTTCTTTCTCAAACGATACCTACGCCCATTTGATGTATGGGGCATTGACTTCATGAGTATTATTTCCATCATCATCGTTTTATCGATGATCCTGAGAGAAGGGAAACCAACCAAAGAATATTGCACAAACTGACCAAAATTCCCGACCTTGGGAACAACTATCCTAACGTATACATATTGATCTAGGTACCTGTTGTATCCTACCTTTATAACTAACTGCACATAGCCAACCAAAAACATTGGCATTCATTTACATTCCAATCGGCCACCAGTTGAGGCAGAAATCCTTCTCCTGTTCGGTAAATGAGGTAGTAGACAGTTGCGGATTGGATTTCGGGCAGTCAGATGCTGCTGCTGGAGAAGGAGAAGCCAGTGGCAGGTCCATGCAAGTTCGAAAAAGAGAAAAAAAAACTTGATCCTCTATCGTATGATCGTTGCGAGACTGATCCTGCTGTGCCATTGGTGGACAGATATTCGTTCGAGGGTAGGTGCCTCTCGCTGTTTAGGGTTAACCGGTGATCAGATCATTGAGTGTAATTTTCCCCAAGTTCCCAGTGTCTATCCGATCAAAGTTCTGGCATATCTGCAGAACATCTTTCTCTGTTACCTTCCCCATCTCCTTTAGCTTGTATATCACGTATTCTGATTTGCTACAAGAAACAGGATTCCACAATGAAGTTAATATGTGTTCAGTAACTAAAACAAAGAAGTTGGGAGCTTTGAAGATAGAAGCATGCAAGAGTTTCTCAATAAAGCAAGCCAGGCAGGTTCCCACCAAAGATAAAGTTCCCCAATGAAATTTGTGACAGAAACTACATGCATCAGCAGCAGATAAATAGCCATGAAAGACGATCAGAATGAATTCTGCATAAAGCCTCATCGTAAGATTTCGTGATTATGAACAGCATTCTCTAATTATGTATCAGGCACATCAATCACATTGACAACAACAGCATACGGGACAAATATCAGGAGCAAGTGTTGGCGGAATATTTATGTTCTGTATGATGTACTTCAACAAGTTAAAGCAGTTTCTACCCAAAAAAAAAAAGAACAAGTTAAAGCAGCACAGAAACAAAGATTAATGGAGACTACCTCAGATCAAACCATAAAACCAGACACGGATGAGACGCGTTTGTTTCAGATAAAAGCAAAGTTGCTTTAGAAAAAGAGAGCTTAAAAGTTGGATCTAAAACCCTTGAGCTACTATTCACCATGAACCCACTAATTCTTTAAACACAAGCTCAAGCAAACACAAACGGTTCGTTCTCTTCATTAAGGCATACCACACTGGCATAGTTTCGTCCCTAACATGACAAATTCTGAACAACTGTATTCAACATTCAACACAAATTCATACCTCACATGACCGTTGTGGTCGATATCAGCAGCGAGAAACTCCGAGACAGTCATATCATGGCCAAGAACCCACTTCGTCATCCTCCTCTGCCTCTTATCAACTCTAGCCTCAGCCAAGTACAAGAAAGCCCTCGCCACGGCCAAAGTGGACACGAGCAACCAGATCGAGGCAAAGATTCGACCTTGCATCGACCCGAAAGCCCTGTCTCCATACCCAACCGTGGTGACAGACATCACCGAGAGGTACAACGAATCGATCCATCCAAGCCGCTCGATGAAATGCATCACAGTAACCCCAATGCCAATGCAGAGAATCACAACCCCTAAAGCCAACGCCACCTTCATTCTTATCCTCATCCTCCCCTTCTTCACATCAATAATGTACCTACCCGCAGTTTCCCTCCTCCCAACCCTCTGAGCATTCCTCAACAGGTAACTCTCTTGCAAATCAAGCACGTAGCTAACCATCCCAGAAAGCAAAATGTCGATGAACCCAAACCCCACCAGCACAAACAGAACCGAGAACAATTTGGTCGCAGTACTGTTCGGTGTAATATCGCCATATCCAATCGTACACATGGTGACAATGCAGAAATATAGAGCATCGACCACAGGGTGGGTCTCGCTAACGGTGAAATCCTCGCGGAAACCCCAATAAATCAAAACCCCGAATGTTAAATAGATTACCAGGAGGACGAAGGCCTGACGGACGACGGAATTGGGACCCAATTGAGGGCTGGGATCGGCTGGGTGGTGGCTGATCTCGTTGATTGCCGCCATGGCGGGAGCCGTCTTGCAGCGGTGGAGATTGCTCTTGGGTATCTTGTAATTGGGATCAATCAGCCATGCCTGTGCGTCCGGGACGACCGAGCTTCCTACTCCTCCTCCTCCTCCTCCTCCGCCGCCGCCGCCGCCGCCGCGGTCGAGGTTAGAAAAGGTGGAGGTACCGGCGGCGGGGAAACGAGGGCTCGGGGAGAGAGTGAGCGCGTCGACGACGGAGGAAGACGATTCCCTCGGGGTAGGGGTGAAAGGGCCGAAAATGAGGTGGTCCTTGAGCTGGGAAGGGGTCATGGGGATGGGCAAGGAGAACTCGTCGTTCTCCCGGAGAGGGCAGAGGGAGAGCGGCGGAGGCGGCCAGCGGGCTCTTGGGCTCGGAGCCACGAACGTGAGGAGCGGCTCTTTGTTGTCCATTTTTTTTCGCTTCGAGGGTTTGCAGAATTTGGAGGTGGGTGCTTCGGGTTAACGCGGGGAAGAGAAGGGAAGGCGTTAGCGGTGGTGGTGGTGGCGGTGTGGGATTAATATGGAGGTAAATTACTAATTAGGATTAGGAATATGATTAATGGTGGATTTTAATGACGATATTGGGAGGAGGGGAGGGGAGATGATCAGCCATTAGGAGGTAGATGCGCCATTTTAGTTCGTTACAGAGTTAAGGACAAGTCGGAGTGACGAGAAATAGAGAGAGTCAGAGGGATGGAGATGGAGAGTCTGATTCGGTCAGTTTCGGGTGGAAGGGAAGGGAAGGGAAG